ATTAGCACTATGATGTTGCCTTATCTAGGTCATGATATAACCAGCCTCTCACCGAGTAATCCTCTTGTGGCTGACACTGAATGAAAGGAATAGAATAATAAAGCACTCGATTGAGATGTCAAAACAGTCTGGCAGAATGCTATTGGGGTGGAAAGCAGGGTTTGATAAGCGCTGATGCCTTTGTTTAGGCAGCTGGGAGGGAAGATGGACGTGTTAGCGCAGAGCTCTGCTTACATTTGGGAGCGCTGGGGTTTTCCCTATTCTCTCTCTCTCTCTCTTTCTCTCTCTCGCCCCCACTCTCTCTCTCCCTCTCCCTCTCTTGCTCTTTCCCCATGCTGCCTCTCAGACAGCTTTGATCACAGTACCCTTTGAAGCAGTGTTCCAAAATGAAAACGAGGAGAAAGCAGAAGTCATCGCAAGTTCATGCCTAAACTTCCTGTAACTACTTGCAAAGTGTACATCTTCATCACAGCACAAGCTCTGCAAGACCTATGAAAATCATTGATGAGATTTTTTTAGCCATAAATCATTAATTACAAGGCCACAATGTGTTGCTGCTATTAAACGCCTCTCACCTGACCTAATGTTAAGGACTTCAAAGATGTTGTTTGAAACTCGCACAGCAAATCATCCTTGGTAGATGCTACTTGACATTTCTGAACATGACTATGGCTCCTGCACTGCAAAAACAATATAGAGCATAGCAGCATCTCGGGTTTCCTTTACCCAGAATGCTACAACAGTGTTTCAGAGAAGGAACAGCCATTCTGGGAAATGCGCTTTCAGACTCACAGTGAGATGATGAGATCAATATTAGTTTCAGGTCCGTTTGTCCAGTGTAGAGATAACTCTGGGAAATGTTTAGCAGACACAAAGACTGGGCACAAGGGGAAACTGCTAGTCTAGCTCTGTCAAAAGTGAAAGTATATTGTAGGTCTCATTATAGTTTTACTTGTATTTTGCCAACATCGCACATGCAGTAAGTACCACAGATTGGTCACTGTTAATTCATTCTATTTAGACTAGCAAGTGGCTACAACAATCACAGGCTATTGTGTACAGACCCTCATTAGCACTTATTAATTATCATTATGTATCCAGTTGGCCTGTGCATAAATGATGATGAGTTTATAACTCTATACTAAATCACAATGGTTGATTACATTTTCTGTAGTTGTTTGCAGATTGTAATTAATTATAAACTAAATGTTAGGTACTTTACCTGTGGTTGCTAAAGCTGATGTTGTTGCTATATTTCCACAACCACTTACCAGACTTCTTCCTAGTTTAGTATTACGTATGCACGGGGTAACTTTAACAGTAACTTCATTATTTATAAGAGATATATTTGTGTGCTCTAGAAAATACTGTACAGTATGTGTTAAAGATACACAGATTCTTTTCTTCCCATTCTGAGCAGATACCAGCACTCACTTTTTCCCCAATTTTGATCTATATGACTCAACTCACTGAAAGAATTTTTATGTAAGGTAACATGAGGTCAGGGATTGCTGTGGCGCAGCCTGGCTCGCCTGGCTCGACTGGCTCACAGAAATCTTTTTTTAATGGCACTGACGACATGCCTGATACCTGATACAGTTAATATCAGCATCGATACTGATCTTGAGTATTCTATGGGTGCATCCCCAGTATGAAAATTCACATAAAATTCACACTCTTATTGTACTGCATTAAATGTTTGGAATTATGTTAACAACTCTCTTACTGTTGGCAATACTGTCAGTCTTGGAGACACCAAATACCAAGAGTGCAAGAATATTTCTTTAAATATTGGTGAAAAATAAGCTTGTTGTGTCAGTCTTCAGAATCACCCAGAAACATCCTTAAATCTCCCTGAAGTTTGTTCAAATACATACATACTATATTATGATATATGCTGTGAGAGGATATAAATGTGACAACTGTCAAATGTTACCACACCGTTTATACAGAGGTAGCTGTCTTCTGGCAAATTTCTCTGGCTGTATTAGACCATAATAATACCAGATAACGTGTCTCTTTCTCACTGTTACTTAGCAAAATGCTAAAATGGGTCGTTAATATATGCTACCGGGGCGGTCCGCCCAAGTAAAGTCTGTATGTGGGGAAATATGGCTTATTTTGGCCTTATAGGTATTACAAATTGCGAGGTTTGTCTTCTTCACTCATGGTGAAGAACTGCAAGCCAAAAACACGTTTTAGTGTGTGTGTGACAGTTGTTGATGTCTGTGCCACTGTGTGCATGCAGTAAACCATTGTGCAGCGCAGCATGCGGGTAAATTTGATCGGCACAGAATCAGATATGTGAGACTGGTCGGCCCCGGTCATAGCCAATAAAGCTGAAAATTGGCTGATTCTGATTGATCAGTAAATCTCTAGATAAAAAATTATGTATTTATTGTTGAAACACGGGTTACCTATGACAGAAAAACATTCATTGGAAAAGGAAGAAGGGGGTTTGGATTAAAGAGCAGTGGACCTTAGATGATCCACCGGCTAGATCAACAGGACCAGGTACCATGGCGGGTGCGGTGATCGCTCATAGGAGAGGAAAGAGAGATGGGATAGGAACCATGTTGGCCCAGGTTTGACTTAAGGCTGCACCTAAAGGTATGGACAAAATGGGACTTATGTAAGTCAAGCAATGGAAATCAGAGACTATTGTGCCCACATCTTTACAGAGACCTGCCCCATTGACATCCTGGAATCAAGCACTTGACGGGCGGACCATGTTCGAAGCTGTCAGCGCAGGACTCTTGCTGGATGAGAGGAGGTGGACTCTGTGTTTCCACCGATGATGACTAGTGCTCAAACACAGTCAAGATGGACACTTTTATGTGAAGATGAAAATCATATTATCACCTTGTTGCTGCTGTTTACATTCTCCTCCAACAGAATTTCCCCCCAAATCTCTGCAGAATGTTTGGGGTGTATATGTGTATGTATATGTATATAAATAACTATATATTGTTTTAGTTTATTTATTTTATATGTTACAATATTTTAACACATTTAATTATGTGTTAAGTTCTGTGTGTGTAGCATGAAGGGACAAGAAACTTTCTTTTCATTATACAACTTTGTTGTGTTGTGTAATGATAAATAAGCTGAGTAACCACATCATCACAGGGGGTACTACCTTGTACCTTCAAAGTCCTTGATTTGTCAATTGTTTGATTTGCTAGATTAGCTGAGAACAGACATTCGTGGCCAGTTATGTAATTCAAAACCTTTTTAAAAATGATATAAATATACTATACCACAATATATATCAACATTGCAGTATAAAATGACATTGACAACTTTGGTTTGCAAGTTTGAAGAATATACAGTATGTATAATTGAATAAATAGACAAACACACATCGTTTTCCAAGTGTCAGGGTAGCTACTGCTCAATTAGTTACTGACCCATTCACTGCAACGGCTGCCATATCCTCTTGACACTGTTGCAACTACAGTACAATAGAGAGTAGCAACTACTGCCATAGGTGTTGAATAGGGAGAGTATAGATGTAGGACATATATGAAGGACACCATGAGAGCGCTGCTCCTAAGCTACCGTCTCATTTTGCCCAACAGGCTTCTGCGTTGTTAAATATCTTTGAGATTATTGAGAGCGCAAGAGAAAAGATAAATAAAAAGCTGATAAAAGAGAAGAAGATAAAAAGAAAAATTATACCCGAGGAGCAAATAAAGGAGATATTACAGCCTGTCCTACATATCAGCTGTACTAATGACTGTTGGAGTTCTCTGTGTAATAACCTGAGTAACCACATCACCACAGGGGGGTACTACATGAATTTCACCCTGATCAACTGAGACTTCTGTAAGAGGGAAAAATGTAGCAAGTTACTAGGGGTGCACTTGAGTTGTAATCATGCAGTGTGGCTCAATTTAGCACCTGCCTTAATTACAAGAGTAAGTCTGAGCCTCGTAAATGAAAGAGAGGGTTGGGGGAGTTTTAGAAAAGGCTAGGTGCAAGCTAAATTAGCTGTGAAACTAACAAATGAAGGCAATTAGCCAGTGAGCTCCCAGTCTGTCTGCACAGTCTAATTGAGAAACCAGGCCAAAGAATATCTGGAACAACTCAACAGTCGCCTTATCTTTTTCTTAATCTGTTTTTCTGCTAGTGGGCCACATTTAGGCAATGCTTATACAACTATCATCCCACAAAGCCTTTGACAGAAGCTTTGCGGTATTTATCAAATATTTGAAATTTGAGAGCTTTTATGCAAATGTTATGTGAGTGAATGTTTGCATTTATCTACCACAGCATGATATTTATCAAGGCATCAGAAGATAATACAAGAATACCGAAAACAACTGGATATTACAAGAAATGACTTTCCCATTTTAACCAAATAACTGACAGAGAGTCCGGACCGTTCCTCGTGTGTGAGCCAAAGAAATGATTTTGAAACATCAGGAAACTCTTGGTGACATACGCTAATCTCTTCATATTCTAGGATCTCATAGCAGAAAAGGATGGGGATGACAGACGGCAAGAGTGATAAAAAAGGGAGGAATGAAAAGAGAGCAAATAAAGGGACACAGAGGAGAAAGAAGGGAGATGTAAGTGAAGCGTAAACAAAGTTGGCATGAGAGGAGAGGAGATGATGGGGGGAGGTGGAGCTGCAAAGAGATGAATAGATATGTGGATGGAGAGGATCAGACAAGGATGCAGCATCTTAGAATGAGCGGAGGGAATAGCAGTTCTGTAAATTCAAACTCCTGCAGATGACTGGAGAGGCCCTAGAGATCTGTTAATGTGATGCAATGTCTTTTCTTTGCTTCTCCCTATTTTTCTCTCTATCTCTCTATTTGTTTCCTTCTCTGTATCTGCAGCTTTAGTACACTGCTGGTGAAGAGTACTGCTCTAAAATTAGTACACCCCCCCCCCCCCCCCAACACACACACACACACACACACACACACACACACACACACACACACACACACACACACACACACACACACACACAAAAACACACTTCTCACCGCGGCAGTAGCCATCCATCTCCTCGTGGCCAATACTACAGACACAGCGGCCCAGTGGTACCAGCCAGTCTCCATCAGCACCACAGTACAATTTGGGTGTGTCCCTCTCTTCTGCATTCTCCACACATGCACCCCTTACTTCCACCAGAGAGGATGAGTCCATATGCGGCACCGTGTCAGGAAATGCTGCCAGGTTCCTTAAAGTCGATGGGCAGCGCTTGTAGAACACCTTATGCGAAAGAGAAAAACAGGAAGTGGAAGTACTGTCAGTCTTGTGAAATGGCTGTAATTCATGCAAACATAAGTCATACCACCGTGTTCACTGACCTTGACAGACACAAGTGCAATACAAGCCCCAACATCCTGGAAGGCCAAGTAGAAGCCCTGCTGTGTCACCGGCCCCACCTCTCTGACTTCAGTATTGAGGCGAAGAACACGATCTCCAAGATCTGTCTGTGTAAAACTCTCATCTGCCGCTATGGTGTCCACCTTAAAGCCAACAACACTTTAATAGCACAGTTCATTGCTATTTAATGATTCCTGTAGCGCAACATTTTTTCATGACACGGATCTGATAACCAACCTTGGCATAGTCAGTAGGCCGAAACCGTGTCCCTGCAGGGAGCTGTTCATCTGTCTGCAGGTAAAAGAGGTTGAAGGTTTCCTTACAGGTACCAGACACCCAAGGAATGGAGTTGCAGTCTCTCAGTGTGAAACGCAGCTCCACATATACCTGAGTAAGAATATAGATAAATATATAAACAAATGATCACAATGTCATTACACATTACAAATATTAAACATTTTGCAGTCGGCTCTACAAATTGCCCGACTGGAAATAAACTGGTTTCCGTCTATTATAATAAATCCTATTGGCCTAATATTTTAATAGACGTATAAATGTTGGTATGACAATAAAATGGCAGGCTTTATGTTTACATGTTTAGCAATTATTTCAGTAAAAGTGTTTATAAAATGCAAAAATACATAATCAAATTCCAGACACAAACAAGCAATGGTAAAAACGATGAAAGACAACCCATTAAAACAGTTTGTGTAAATGTATAAATAGAAAGGTTTCTGCCATATTACACTGTACATATTCAAAGGGTTTTCAGTAGTTTGTAATACAGCTCTGTTCCAGACATAATGAGCAGCACTCGAGTCACTGCAGTAGAAAGTAGTAGAAGTAGAAATCCTTCCCCATCTTTGATTTATCACAGGCTGTTCTGTATTAACTTCAGTGGAAATCATCCCCTCTCTATCAGAGCAAAGTCATGTTTTATTGTTACAGTACATCTGCCTGCCGTTTTCTTCCTACCGTGATACGTTGCGTAGAAGATTACATTCACTCCAGTTAGTTTGACACTTTCCCTACCTTGCAAAAATGTCACAACCTTGCCCTGCTTCAAGACTGCTTCATTTGATCCAAATATCTTTGAACCAAAGATTTTTGAACTAGTACAGTGTTTGTCTAAAAAAGTGATGTGGTCCACACACCCTCTGTGCAGCCTGCCGCTGGATCCATCCAGACCGTAGCCAGTTGTTCTGATTTGGCTCCATTACGTGGCAAACCTGGAAGGTGTGAATAGGTCTGTTCTGCTCATCCATCTCTGTGATAGCGTCCCACTGTGAAAATATACGAAGCAAACATTTTTAAATAACAATTGCCATATACAGCATGCCAAGTATTTTGTTAGTAACTTTATTGCCTATAGTGTGAAACATTGTCTTTAGCTCCACCTCTCACAACATGCCATCAAAAATGCCATCAAAAAAGACATACAAGCAGACAATAGAAAATAATTTATTAAATATTGTATTTGTTAGCAGAACACTAGTAGTTTGAACATTTACACCATTTAGTTTGCTTATAAATTTGCTAAAAACATTTCTGTTGGGCATGTATGTGATAATAGACCATTATAATCTATATCATTAAAATTACTGACCCTTTGAGACTGTCATTTGTGGATTGGTGTGAGTGACTGGAATGGCAGACATTCAGTTATTGGTATGTATTATATTAGAGCTGTAATACCGATTACTAGCAATTTATATTTCATATGGAGATTATGTTTGGAGATTACAATACATGCACCAATGAATGATCAGGTTTCAGAGCTGCTCCAACCTGTGCGCCTTCTAATGCTTGTAGTGAAACTTAATTTCTATAGAAACATGTTTCAACAATGTTTTCAAGCTGTTGCATCAGCCAGAGTCTCTCATTTGTCTGCTCCGCTTTAACGGTGAGATGATCAGAACTTCAAAAGCTCTAATGTTTATTGACAGAACTTCTTTTTAACACTCCTCTATGTGGGCAGCATGAAATACATAGGAGACATGGTAGCATTTCTGTTTTTCATTTCTGATTCTGTTGTGTAAAAGCTAGGGTAAAGACATTTGTATGAATGTGACTAAACTTTTATATTCAAAATGGAGACACAACTGCGGAGGCTTAGGTGCAATAAGCCAGTGAAAAAGAATTCACATTTAGCTCAAGTACTCGCCCAGATCTTCTTAGTGTTCTGTAACCCCAAGGGCGTATTCACAGTCCAGGGGTTTGTTTTTTAATGTCCTACATTTTAGCACACAAAGCGGTCAAATTATGCTTGAAAAGAAGTAGCTCGTACCATGTGTTATCCAGCCACGTCGGAAATCAAACGTGTTTATAGTTGTCCTGAACAGCCACAGTGGCAGGTGTGGTGGAATGAATAGACAACCTCATAGAGAGGGGGAGACAGGATATTGTTTAAATAATAACAATATGACCCAGTCTCTTATCGCAAGGCTTTCATGTTCACTCAGCTTTTCACATGCAAAGTGACAGAAATAACTGTGTAAAGAATGTAAAAGAAAGTTCAAAACCTGGATCCTTTCTCACCTCAACACCACTGGCCAATCACTTTGTGAAGAGGGTGTGAATGTCCATTGTCTGTTTTGGAAAGTTTGACAAGCATCTTAAGAGAATGTGTGGGTGCTTTCTATTTAGCTAATGGGCCAAGAATGCCATCTGAAACTAATGGACAATTAATTTCCTGGACATTAAGTTCCATTAAACCTATGTTATAATCATAGCAAAGGTTGAGCCAACCTCTGGAACACTGCAAGATTTGTTTTGGTTGTGTCACAGTATTGCAGTAATTCATAATTAATATGAGGTGTTTTTGTCATACCAGCCCACTCTTTCCCCTCTGATCAGGTCAGCTGCAGTGACCAGTTTATAGCCAGGGGGGCTAGACCCTTTCTCCTGCTCCTCCTCACCAAATGAGATAGCGTAGCCTCACACCAAACACCATTTGTGTATTTGTGTCTTCCTCAACAAAAAGTCCAAGCTTTCCGTGGCCAAATGTATCACTAAGTTACAGAGAGAAGTTGCACTCGACAGCGTAACACACTGATTAACAATTCAAACAAACAGCAGAATTTATGCCTTATGTCTTCCATCATTACAGCAGTGCCTTTTTTCATGGGTCTATTTGATTTGATGTATTTATTACATGAACTAGGCCGATGAAAAAGAGAACCACCTGAGAGGAAATACCAGATAAATATAGGGCAGTTATGTGACATTTTTTAACATACTGAGTTGACATGGATCCCCTGAACGTTCCACTCAACATGTGAAGGAGCACAATTATAGATTTTATTGATTATAGGATCCCCAGGACTGCTAAAGATACTCGTGTCCTCCTAATGTGGACTAAAGTAACAAAGCTTGGTCTGGAAATGCTTCCTTTCCAGGATCTATCCCCTGAATTTGGATTTGAATGGGTTACACTATCCAGTAAAAAGACTTCCACATATGATACACCTGTGTACACTTTTTCCTGTAGCTTCCTCTTTCCCAGCCTTCTCCAAAAAGCAGAAACTTCCTCCATGATTACAGACTTTTATTTCCATGGCCACAGTCTGGAACATGGAGGACCAGAGAAAGTATAAGTAGCTAAATGGAAAGCGCTCTGTGTCTACTTGTTGATTTCACTTGCCACATTGATAACTACATTTTGTAATTCTGTATCTGTGATATCTGCAAAAGGAGGATGTTCAAGAAAACAATCCAAAGCTGCTGTGTTGAATGTGATACACACACACACACACACACACACACACACACACACACATTGTGGCTGCACGGTCCTTGATGAATGCATTGAATGTGTGACACGGAGACCCAATGAAGTCAGATGACTGACAGAACGAGTTAAACCAATACAACTAAGGTAGGGTGTTCTCTAATATAAATTATTAAACAACACTTTAACCTTGACTGGAGTGTGCAAAAGCAATTAATCTTATATTAATTAAGCTCTAAATTAGCTCTGTGTGACACCCAAGGGCTAAATGATTAATCAATCACAATCACTTCCTTTTTCATTTGGAACTCCAGCCAGCCAGTAATGCTGGACTCTGAGGTAGTATGTAATCATGCATATATCATTGCTATGGGAAATGTTCAACGTAAATGAGCAGAATCTAAAAATGGAGAAAACATCTTTGTATAGGATTCAGTTATATGTTCACTCTGTAAAATAAAACCAAAGCCCTGTGTTAACTACTGTATATATGCATAATTAACTATTGTATGCATACCAATTGTTATATAAGTATTATTCTTAACATGTTAATATATGTGAACGTGGCATAAGCTTCTTTTGGCATATGGGTCAGTGGGAGAGAACAATACACAGTGCTTGGAGCACAATGGACCACGCTGAGGTGCTAGCTGTTACTGTTAAACTAAATAAAACTGTCATCACAAACAATTAGTAATTTACATTTATTACCCAGAGCATTCACAATAATCACTCATGGGGGGAAAAAGGAAGTAGGACTAAAAGTTCTATTTACAACCACGAAAAGCAAGCAGGATAACAAACCAAACTGACTGGTATTATAACCACCCTGCTGATCCACTTCTGGTCCGTTTAGTGTCCGACTGACCTACTAGTTTGAAAAATTCAACAAATTTCATTGTCTTTTTCATTTTACCAGTTTCCTCCCTGTTGCTGAGGTAATTCAATTCAGTAAGATTATTTCAGGTGATGTATGCAAAACTCACACTTGTTGTCAGCTTCAAGGACATTTCTCTTTAAAAATTACAAACACAACTGATTTTAAAAGCATCCAAAATAGGTAAACAAGCTATTTACGAATAACTTTAATGGGAAATAAAAGGATGATGAAACACATAACATTAAATATTACTTTGTAATAAATTAACATTTATTTAGGTTTTTTCAGGTACTTGGTCATAAACCAAATTACTGGATAAACTGACTATGGACCTTTGACCTGCTAGTGGCGCTAGAGGTCAGATCATTGCCAAAGCCATTAAGATGTATCCTCAAGCGAACATGAGTATCTGTAGCAAATCCCATGGCAATCCATCCAGTACTTGTTGAGATATTTCAGACGTGACCAAAGTGGTGGACCGACTGACAGACCGGCATTGCCCTCCCTAGAGTGAGAAGCTGACAAGTGTTTAGACTGCGACTGCAAGGTTTCTGCAGTGCTTTGCCACATGCCATTCAGCCTGTCATTTCTGAGATTTCCTGCTCGTGTATAAAAGTGGAAATGCTTTCAAAGTCATAGAAAGGAATTGTAACTTTAAGCAAGACTCCCACACTTGATGTGAGAGGAACCTCTTCAACATATAGACTCAATATTCATCTCATTGCCCTCCTTACAGACCAGAAACATACATTTAGTATCTTTAAAGAAAGCTGGCCTTCTGGTTTGCATAAGATCAGCATTAAGTAATTGAAGTTACATTATGCATGCAAACAAGAGAAAATGGTAATTTGTCACTCTGTGCCTCAGTGTTCTAAAATGCCCCCTTGGGATGTGGCATGGTTCAGAGCAGAGAAAACAAATGCAAACCCAGAGTTTGAAAGATGAGCTGAAGCCCACGCTCTCTGAGGCAATCAGATATGCACCTACTAATCGCTCTGCCTATTAGCCCCATGCTTAGCAGACTATAGCAGACAGAAACTGACACTAATATTACAATATGAGAGTGCAATACCAAGCTTTCTGAAACTGGCCCGTAAAAAAATGTCTTAGTTTTGAGGCACACCCTGTGATGAAGTACTAAAGATTGGGAAAACAACGCATGATGCAAAAACAATTGTGGGTCTAATTTCCTAGTTTGGCATCATGACCCTTGAGTTTGTTAAAAATGTCCTCACCTAATCCAAAAAGCAATTAAAACACTTCATCAACACAGTGACACTCACACTGCAATTAAACATGCCCCTATGAAGTGTCCTATTGACTTTTGCTTGTTCAGGTGTGCTTTCTCCAGTTTGCCGCAATTAATGACTATGGTGTCTGCATACAGATGGTGAATTGAATGAGAGAGTGGGAGAATCATGAAAGACTTAATCATTCTTGGTAGACGTCCTTCAAGAGTCTGAGTCCCTCTTCACAATTGCAGTGGACAAACACAATGCAGCTGCTCAGTTTACATCATGATAGTTCTGGTGTGTGGCATCCTTAAGAGTGAAAAATGATTATTGGCGCTGCATGTAAGCAAACATACAGTAAACTTGTGTTGTTCTGAGACATCTGAGTTGCTGATTCTTTCATACTTGTACAAATGTGAACAGAATCGTCTTTCTGTTTTG